TGGGGGGATGGATTCTGAAGGATGTTGCTGTCGATGTGCCGTTGCTGCAGTGGGTGTGCTTGTTCTCGCTGCCCCTCTTTCTCCCTGCCGTGGCAGCACTGGGGTGTTCCAATGCTCAGATTCATGAGTCCTTTCCTCACATCCAGCTGCCCTCAGTGCAGGGTCCTCGTGCGTGCAGGCTCCTTGCTGTTTCACCCTCAGCATTGGGCTTCTGCCCTGTTTGAAGTGGCTCGAGACGCCAGAGCTGTTTGTAAAAGCCACGTTGTGCCGGTTGTTACTGGTATTTTCCTGCTTAAAAATTCCCCTTAACAGAAACCCCGTTCTGTGTTTGCAGGGGCTTGGCAAAGCCCATTTTGCCATTTGTCAGCAATGGCAAAGCCTCAGAGCAAGGATTCTGGACTGAAGGAGAAGTTCAGGAATCTGCTGGGGCTGGGAACATCTCGGGGAAGTTCAAAGTCATCGGAGGGCAAGCAAACAGAGTTTATCATCACTGCAGAAATACTCAAGGTGTGGGAACAGACCGTGGTAAAGGTGGGGATAGTGCCTGGATGATCGGAGCTGAGAGGGTCAGAAGGAGGGCATGCTCATTCTCCTTTCTGTTTTGCTATTCACTCCCTCTCTGATCATGCCTTTTTACCTCATTCTCTAGTGACATGGATGTAAAACTCCCCTACTTCGAAGTTCCAGCATTTTAGTTATTCAGTGGTTGAACAGTTTTGAGATATTTGACAGGAGGGTGTTGTCTCCTTCAGGTTACAGGGTGTTTCCTCAGAATATATCGCTCTTGGTTTATCATCCGAGCTTGATGAAGTTTATGTGCTGGCAGCTAGCACATGCTGGAAACTGTTTCTATCTTATGAAAACCTTATGATTTTGTGAAAATTAAAAAAAAAAAAAATTGATTCCAGTAGTTGGTACGACAAGTCCATAAGCAGAATGGTTGGCACACAGGGAGGAAGGGGAGAAGGAAACCAGAATTCCTTCTTGTCTGCTGGAGCAGCCAAGATCCTACCAGCTGGAAGGCTGGAGAGCTGGACTTAACGTCCGTCCTTTCTCTGTCTGCCCTTCTCCCATGAACTGGGCAAGCGCCATAGCCAGCGAGTTATTAACTTTTCTGAAGAAAATTAGATGTTCTGTCCTGGATGTGAAAAGCTGCTTGGCTCCAGTTCTGTGAAAGTTCTAGTTTTGAGAAATGATTTGCTAATGGAAAAAAATTTTTTTGAGAAATTCCTGAAAAGCTCCAGTGGTGACTAAGGGTTAGATCATTTTAGACAAATGTGTATTTCATTTTTCAGTGGTTCATGATCCCTTTTGAGAAATGGATAAGTGTTTCTAGTAAGATAAACTGTTAGCTTATTTCTACATTTCTTTCCAGGAACTGAGCGTAGAATGTGGATTAAGTAATAGGATACGAGCAATCAGTCAAATTTGTGAAGTGGCAAAAACTAAAAAAATTGAAGAGGTAAGTTTCAAAGTGTTCGGTGAATATTTGAAAGGTGAATATTTAAGCAGCAGTTCTTAACCTATGGTAAGAGGCTCCTGTACTTTAGACTGCCTTTTAAAATTGGTAAACCCAGAAGTTACATTTTGTGCTATCCAAACTGTGAAAGGATGGCCCGCATGGTAAGGAAGTGAGTCTTGTCCACCCTACCGACCGTGGAGCAGAGACGAAATAGGTGATGGGCTTCCTGAACTGAAGGGAAGGAGAATGCAGCAAATATTCAGCCCTGTTCAGGACAGTTCATGGGAGACGAGGTTAATCCTCTAGAAGAGGTGTTTGCTAGCTCCTTCTGTCTTGTTAATAAGCAACCTCAAATTGGTTTTAAACTTGTATTTGGGTGAGGGTTTCTGCACCAGTCTTCACACTGCAGTAAGTGTGTGAATGAAGAACTTCAGTTCTTGGGGTACAAGTTGTCATGTAGGGTGGGATTTGGTGTCTCATGGTTCCTCTGCGTTATCCCCAGGCAGGTGGGGTGTCCCTCAGAAAAGAGAACTCTGGACATGAAATCCCTGGAGATCTAGTTTGTTAACTTCTCATAATTAATGACTGACTTACTGGATAAAGATCCCAGAAGCAGCTTAGCTTTCCCGCTCCTGCCTGTCTCTTGTGTTTTTTTTTTCAGCACGCAGTGGAAGCAATATGGAAAGTGGTAGCGGATATGCTCCAGCCAGAGCGCCCCGCCGAAGCCAGGCATGCTGTTCTTCATCTGCTGAAGTCAATCGTTCAAGGACAGGTGAAAACAAATGAACTGTAGAAGAAACACTACACTCAAACTCGGGTTTGTGCAGAGTATAGGTGTGAAAAATACTGGATGGCTCTTTTCTATACCTTTCCGTGTGTCTTATTTTGGTTGTACCTAGTAAATGGGAAGGGGAAGCGTTTTAATTTAAGTCTTGGTTTGACCTCATAGAAAAACTTTTCATACAACTTGTCGAAGGCTTTTCTGTTTTGGGGCAATGCTCTTGAGAAAGAGGGAATAATTGGGGTTAATTTCAGCCTAGTACAGCAAATTTTGTATGGTCTTTGCCTAGACCTATCAGCCCTAGTCTGCAGCTGGTTTTGATGTTTCAGCATGTCAAGAATGCAAGGAGTTCTGATTGAGATACTTTTCTAGTCTGGCCAAGTTAAGCATAGTATGAATTCTTCAGATTTCACAATGTGCTCTGCAAACGTAAGACTGTATCAGACCAAAGCTCTAGTTTTCAGTTTTCCAAAAAAGTAGGGGTAGGTGCTTACGCAAAGAGTTGGCATTGGTTCTGGTTTGTTGGGTGGTTGTTTCGCTGGCAGTGCTGTCAGTTGCAGTTTCCGTGGGTTCCTTTATTGGATGTTGTCTGTGTGTTGCTGGACAAAATGCCTCCAGCCCTGGGTGCCAATAGAACAGATCGAGAAGACCTGAGCCATTGTCAGCAGCCAGGAGACTTTTGCAGGCCCTAGGAAAAGAAAACAGTTTCGAGCATGAAGATTACTGGTATAGACCTTGAAAAGTTCCAGGCCTTAACCGTCTTTTTTGACTAGTGACACTGTTATTCCATCCCCCAACCCCCTCTTTTTTTTTTTTTTTTTAAGGGTGAGAGATTAGGGATCCTCAGAGCACATTTTTTTAAGGTTATTAAGGACTATCCCTCCAATGAAGACTTGCATGAACGGCTTGAAGTGTTCAAGGCTCTAACGGAGAATGGACGATACATCACCTACTTAGAAGAAGAGTTAGGTGAGTATTGTGTCTAGCCCTCTTCAGTTTGGTGGCAGTAAGTCAAGGAACAGGCATTCAGTGGTACAAAACAAAGGTAGTGATAACAGTTCTGGGTAGAAAGCATATTGTAACAGTTTTTTTTTTCTTCTCTAGCTGACTTTGTACTCCAGTGGATGGATGTTGGTTTGTCTTCTGAGTTCCTTCTGGTGTTAGTGAACTTGGTGAAATTCAATAGCTGTTATCTGGAAGACTATGTAGCTGACATGGTCCAGTAAGTTTTTGTTTTGTTTTGTTTTCAACTCTTACATGCTTATTCTTGGTAAATTACAGGAGAACGTTGCAGATCAATATACAGATGAGTGGAATGGTTTTAATCTGATCTGAATCTGTTTCATTCCAGGTCCTACCTGACATTTCTGACAAATATTTGATTTTTTAGTCCTTCCAATGTTCAGATCTGCTTTAGTTTAACTGCACATGCTTTCCCTATTTCATGAGATGGGCCTGGTTGCATTGCTTAGTCTCACAAAGGGTCTCTGCTGTTGTATTAATGTAGGTGTACAGAGTTGCATTTAAGTGCAACTTCAAGCTGACTTTATAAAAGAGGCTGTAGTGTTCAGTATCTCTAGGAGTGTTATCAGCAATGCCACAGTAAGGGGAATGATGAGTAAAATAACATGCCACTTTACTTGTCTGCTTTGGCTCTTTGTAATTTGCCTAACATCATATTAAGCAAACAATTATAATTAACTGTTCTTTCCTGACAGCAAGATATGCCTCTTGTGCATTCAGACTTCATCATCTGTGGACATAGAGGTCAGTAATTTCAGTCTCTGTTCGTACTTTAGTGTTCTGTGAATTCTTTAAAACTGCAACTTTTACAAACTCAGATCATCAGACTCTGTTTATTCTCATCGTACAAGAGAGCTAATACAATGTTAAGTGTCTGTAAGCCATTGGGTCTCATACACCAATAATCATTTTGTTCTAAAACAGAGCATTGATAAATTTGATAAGCAAATCAATTTTTTCAACAGTGCTTTTTATGGTTTACTTCAGTTTTGCAATGATTTAAAAAAACCCAACCAAACAACAAACAAACACCTCCCTTATGAGGAAAGGCTGAGGGAGCTGGGTCTCTTTAGTTTGGAAAAGAGGAGGCTGAGGGGTGACCTAATCAATGTTTATAAATACGTGAAGGGTGAGTGTCAGGAGGATGGAGCCAGGCTCTGTGACATCTAGTGATAGGACAAGGGGCAATGGGTTCAAGCTGGAACATAGGAGATTCCACTGGAATATGAGGAAAAACTTCTTTACAGTGAGGGTGACAGAGCACTGGAACAGGCTGCCCAGAGAGGGTGTGGAGTCTCCTTCTCTGGAGACATTCAAAGCCCGCCCGGATGCGTTCCTGTGTGATCTGATCTGGGTGTTCCTGCTCCGGCAGGGGGATTGGACTGGATGATCTTTCGAGGTCCCTTCCAATCTCTAACATTCTGTGATTCTGTGAAAAATCACAACATATCTGTATCCCTTTTGACTTCTGAAGATTTCCTGGGTCTGCCACGTTAGGGTTTGACCCACTCTGTTCCTAAAGAATTGTATAACCATTCTTTCTCTTTCCCAAAGATTTCCTTGCAAGTCCTAGATGCAGTTGTTTGCTATAATTGTCTGCCATCAGAGAACCTGCCAGTATTTATCATCACTTTGTGCCGTACCATCAATGTGAAGGAGCTCTGCGAGCCGTGCTGGAAGGTCAGAACTTTCTTTAGTTTTGTTTTTTAATGAGTTTGCTGTTTTGGAAGTGTCAGATGTGCCTGTGCACATTTGCCATAAATTTCAGTTTGCTTTTAAGAGTAAATTAATGATTGTTTCAAGTATTAAGGGATCAGCACATTGTTATTCTAAGTGCTATCATGTCCGTGGAATTTACCCATCCCAGCTGATGTGGCAGGCTGCCTTTTCTCTAGTGGCATGGAAATGGCCAGACACATTTACTTAGCAGAAGTGGGCATGCTGGCCAGCTAACTGCATATTTAGGCTAATGAGTGTTTTAACGATTGGATATTTAAGTGTTCTCTTTGAATTTGCAGCTTATGCGCAACCTTTTGGGAACTCATTTGGGACACAGTGCCATTTACAACATGTGCAGGATCATGGAAGACAGGTAAAGAACAAAACCCACGGAATTCAGCACAGGTCCCGTTGGGATAAAGAGAGTTGCTGACCTCAGCAGAACAAGCTGAAAGTTCTGGTGCTTAGAAGTGAATTCCCTTCTTAGTTATGATGCTGAAGCGCTCATTTTTTGGCTTTTCAGAATTTATTTTTCCTTTTTTTAAAGTTGTACTAAATGATTTTCTGCTTTTAATGTTTGTAAATTGCTGTGCAAGGCTCTGATGTATAACAGCTGGGAATTACTGTTGACCCTTACATGCTAGTATGGTCTAAGAGTTTCCTTCCATCTGTTTTAGAGCTTACATGGCGGATGCAGCGCTGCTGAGAGGAGCTGTGTTCTTTGTCGGGATGGCTCTGTGGGGTGCTCATCGCCTCAATTCGCTCAAGAATTCCCCAACTTCAGTGTTGCCTTCGTTCCTCAAGGTAGGAGGGGATGCTGGAGAAACTTTTTAATCAGTTATACATCTGGACCTATACACATTTATAGGAAAAATGTGCTCCCCTACATCAAAGAGATCTTTATATGCCTGGAGGACAATAGACAGCAATTGGGTATGGGGTGAAGTGTGGGGAAACACCAAAACAACAGAGGATTTAAGTTTGAAAGTGAGGCCTCCTTCTGGAATAACTTTGGCCAGAAAAGCAAAATCTCAGTTCTTTTTATCAAATATCTAAAGTGTGGGTACTTTAGCTTAAAAAATGAAAACAAAGAAAAAACTTCCAGTCTTTCCAGTGTGTGGTACAAGAAGTCAGGGATGGTGTCTTCAGGAACAGCCTCTCTTAAAATTTTCTCATCCAAGTGCATCGAGCAGGGATTACTAACTTTAACCTCCTGTAAGATGGGACTGTATTTGACATCTGATCTACAGCTGCTTGCAAGAGTGCAGAACTGCGCTTTATAAAAGGTTTCTTTGCTTTGCCCTTTGTGTGTATAGACTTGAATATATTTATCTCAGACCTTCAGGCTAAGTTCCTAAAGATTAAGGCATGTTTCATTTGAATTTAAGAGAGTTACTGATCACTGCTTTCCAGTTGTGAACTGACGGAAATGCTTTGTGTTCCAGGCCATGACATGTCCCAATGCAGTTGTATCTTACGAGATAGTTCTGTCCATAACACGTCTCATAAAGAAGTATGGGAAGGAGCTGCAAGCTGTAACGTGGGATATCCTTTTGGACATCATGGAGCGATTACTGCAACAGCTGCAGGTGAGTGTTGAGCCTGCCTTGGTGTGCTTTTGGTCAGAAGACTTGCCATAACTATTTTTGCAAGTTGATCTCCTATTTGTACGCTCTGGTGAACTCTGAAGCTGGATGAAGGTTTAGCCCAGTTCTCCGTACTGTGCTTCTCAACTAAGTTTTCTGTTTGTGTTTAAAAGTTAGCACTTTCTGGTAAGGTAGAAGTCTTCTAGGAATGTGTTTGTCTCTGTTTCAGACTCTGGAGAGCCAAGAACTTAAGTCCATTGTACATGATCTTTTGACTACAGTAGAAGAACTCTGTGACCAGAATGAATTCCATGGCTCTGAAGAGAGATTTTTTGAGCTGGTGGAAAGATGTGCTGATCAGAGACCAGTAAGAATTTCCTTATTGCCAGTTGAAACTGTTTTGTTACTCAGTACAGTTGAAAGTTGGGAGTCCTAAAATATCAAGAGTTCAGAAACTCACAGCAAGGACATGAGCCTTGTTCTCAGGGGTGGGGGGAAATGGTTATATTGTATTTGCTTATACACTAAAACCAGTTCTTGATCTTTCCATGAAAGGAATCTTCTGTATTAAACTTGATAACATACAGAGCTCAATCCATTCATCCTGCCAAAGATGGCTGGATTCACAACCTGCAGATGTTAATGGAGAGATTCTTCAGGTATGAACTCAAAACTTTATGAATACAAGGCACTTTCAAATGTTTCTTGCCACCATTTCATGTTAGACAATTCTTCTTTCTGGAGTTCTAATGTTTGTAAATTACTTCTTAGAAGTATGGTAGTTTCAGAGCACAGTACATGAAAGGATTTTGTTTAACAGAAGAATAACTTTCCACTGAGTTATTTATGCTGCTTTTTTTTTTTTTTTTTTCCTCTTTATTTCCATTGGATGGTGCTATTCCAATTAGCTTAGGCAGTTATGGTTCAACTCCACAGCTCTTTGTAGTTCTGACACCAAACAAGGCTTTCCTGCTAAGCATCAGGATTGCATATGATTATCCAGTATGAAAATAATATCTGGTTTTGAATTGGTACTCCTAAAAGTGTTCTTATGCTCTGAAATATCACCATACAGCAATAACAAACTTCTGTCTCATCTGTGAAATGCTGCCAAAGAGCAACTGTTCATTGGTGCCATATGTTTGGTTTTAAATTTGCTCACCAGAGTGCTTGTTCTTCTGACATGTGCTTCCTAGTTTGGATTGGAAATGGGAAAACTGCAGTTACAGGTCTCCAGAAGTTGTAAAAGCTGAATTGGGATTCCAGTTTCCACTTGTTCTTGAATCTGATTTCGTATATGGAGACATTAACCGGAGGCCCAGCTGACCTCTAACAGTTATTGTTCTGAATCTTAAGAAGGTTCTTAGTTTATTTTAGTTTTACTTTCCTTTTCTTCTCTACACCCTTCCCTAAATATCAGAAACTTTATTTTATTCATCTTGAGTTTGCTCTTCCCATTTCAGGAACGAAAGCCGTAGTGCTGTTCGTATAAAAGTTCTGGATGTCTTGTCCTTTGTCCTGAGCATCAACAGACAGTTCTATGAGGTGTGTGTTTATCTTTTCTGATGATCACGTGTGAGATCTTAAGTGGGTTCCTTCAAGATTTGTGAAAACATGATGCTGTTGCATGTTTTCTCTCTCTCAAAAAACCAACCCCTACAAGTCTCTTGTCAATAGTCTGTTTGAGCCTGGACTATCAGATCTGTAGGACAGACAAAAACCAAAGCATCAAATCCAAATTCAGCAAAAGTCGTTAATATTTGGTGGGGTGGCATACAGAAATACTTAATTAGATGGAAGAGGAAAGATTAAGGAACCAAACAGTTCGTTGAGGAGCAAGCCTGATAGCGGTGTTCTTTTCTTTGTAACTATTTGTCTCTTTAACATGCTGATTAAACAGCTGACAGCAAAATGTCCAGGCTTATTGAGGTCTGTCCTCTTGCAGGAAGAGCTGATAAACTTGGTTGTGATCTCTCAGCTGGCTCACATTCCAGAGGATAAAGACCATCAAGTCCGAAAACTGGCCACTCAGCTACTCGTAGACCTGGCTGAAGGCTGCAACACACATCACTTCAACAGCTTGCTTGATATCATCGAAAAGGTGAGGCAGAGTTCGGTCAATTGTCAGTAACATCACCACATCATTTGCCAGATCCTCTTCCTCTGGCTGAGGAGATTAAGCCGTGACTGTTACCAGTTGCATGGCTCAGCAGGATATTGTATAACTGCTGGGGTTTGGAGGCTGCAAGTCTGAAGTGCAGAGTGGAAGGGAGCTTTAGAAACCCTGTTAATGCACATCCAAGCTACCTGACGGGGTTTGCAGCAGAATTTCCAGCGAGGATGCCTTGCGGTAGCCTTTCCTGACCTTCCAGGATGGAAGTAAAGAAAAGGTGTGTTGCAGATTTAAACCGTGTGTTGCTTTTCGTCTTAAAAGGTGGCTGCACATTCTCTCTCATCTCCTTCTGAACTGGAAGAGAGGGACTTGCTATCGTATTCAGCTTCTTTGGAGGATGTCAAGACAGCAGTTCTTGGACTCCTGATAATTCTTCAGGTAAATGCTGCAGAGCATTAAACATACCTTCTTCAGAATAGTCTTCTGCTGGACCTGGCTTTTTAGATAACCGTTCTTCCACTGTTAAATATTCTGACTTTTGTTCTATCCACTTAATATTGTAACTCTTGTTCTGGTCATTCCTTTTGCTTTTGAGAACTGTATGACTGTTCGTTCAATGTTTTATTTTCTTGATTTCCATTGTAAAATAAATTTGAGCACATTTTCATGTGTGGAGGGCAGACGTGTTCATAAAGTAACAGAAAGGGAGTGGTTCATAACCTTGAATAGATCTGTTATGTTTGGGTAGTGTGTCCTGTGACGTGGTGAAGCAGTTGTGAAGAGCTGGTTGTTCCAGCTGTTGCCCTGGAGCCAAGCAGAGTTGCTCTGGAGTCTTTGCAGAGGTTCTCTCCAGCGCCATCTGTTCAGCTTGCTTTCAGGAGCATGTTTTTACTGTGTTTTTCTTGAATTCTCAGTGCAGATACACATTTCTGAATAACAACTGTCAGTCTGTCTTTTGGTTTGTGTTTCTCTTCCTGTGTAGACAAAACTCTACAGCTTACCCTCCAGCCACGCAATGCGGGTGTACGAGATGCTGATTCACCACGTCCAACGCCATTACATATACGCGTACAGCCTTGCTGTTGCTAGCAGCATCAGACTGCAGGTATTAGCTGTAACCTGTGCTTTCAGGGTGAGCGCTGCACGGTCTTTGTGGTTCTTGGGTGGCAAATGGGGTGTGTGAGCTCTAGAGCTTGTCAGAAGTAGAATTATTTCCTGGCTAATAGTAGTATGTGTATCTACTGTAACACCAGAAGTGATGTCTCCTGCAGAACTAGCCTCTGCATTTGTTAAAAAATCCCTTTGTACTTGCAAAAGTATCACACGGGGAGGTGGGAGAGTATTCCCCTGGCTTGGGTTTTGAGTGATTCCAGTGTCTTCTCTGTTACAGGTATTTGATTTCCTGCATTCGAGCTGACTCCCTTCACCGTCTTGGTCTTTCCAACAAGGATGGAGCAGTGAGGTTCAGCCCTTACTGTCTGTGTGATTATGTGTAGGTTTCTCATTGCATTAAGCAAAAGCTGTTTTACAAACTATTTGGTATTTTTGTATGAGCTTAATAGTCCGTCAGTACTAATCTGCAGTTTTTCTAAATCTTCCAAATCCTGATGAATCAGCTGTTAGACAAGTCTGTAGTTACAGCCTAGGATTGTCTCAACTAATAACTCATTGGTGAATTGTTCTGAGAAATCACTTGCCTACAGAGCTCTCCATCTCAGACATGAAATTTCTGTTCCTGCTCACAAAACTTCACAAAAATATTTGCAATTTCCTGCCTGAAACCAGTTTCCACATTGGGGTTTGATTCAATGATTTGTACAAATCTGGCTATTTTTAATGCTGTAGCTTAGTCTGAAGTTCTTTGTGTAGCTCTCCCCAGAAGATATCTTTCTAAATTTGCTAGGGGCCTGGATAGAAAAATCCTTAACTGGACCAACCTGACTCATCGCTGTCTGTCTGCTGGACAATCCTGTGTTTTTAATTGAAAATACAGTTTATATTGTTGTTTGGTCACTAAACTGGCTACCAAATAGGGTAGCAGTGTAGCTCACATGAATAGGCAGTTATGATCGTGACGTTACATGTATTTTTGTCCCTTTGCATGTTGTAGAGAAGCAGAGAAGAGGGCTTCTGAGAAAAAGCCTCCTGGTACGCTCTCCCCGCCTTCAGGAAGTCCCAGTGTGCCTTCCCAGAACGCCACCGTTCGTATAGGGCACCTGCCCTACTCAATGGTCTTCGGTGTCCTTCTCCAGTGTCTGAAGCAGGTACGTCCACTCTTAATGACAGCTGTCGTCTCCGTGTGAAATATGTCAACTCAACCAGCTGGCTAGAGAATTCTATCCCAGAGTGTCTAAGTAACATCTGAAAAGCAATCCAGAAATCCTCCTCCTTAGGCAGAATGTGTGTGTGATTGTGCAGCTTTGCAGCCACCAGTGGGAGCACTGGTTCAGCTCTTCTGAAACTTAAGCATTCATTTCACTCTGCTTCGGAGCAGACCAGGGCAAAAAAATGTGTTTGTTAAACAAAGATCAAATAATTCATCCTGTTTCTGAAAAAGAAACCCTCCTACTGCAAGTTTTTGAAGTATTTTGAGAATTGATAAATGTTTCAGTTGCTAATAAACTGTAAATGTGAATCATTCGTTAGTGTTGCATTGGACATAGTTATGTGCTGAGGGGTTGTCTTGCTCTGAACGTTAATTTGTGCTAGTGGTTCGGAGAATTGAATTCTGTCTCTGTCTTTCTGAGCTCAGCCAGGTCTGGATACAAGTTGTCTTCTAGTTTGCAGTGCCAGTATTGCACCTAGAGCTGGATGACAGGCAGGAGGTCACTTGTGACAGCTAAATGGCACTTCTTTTTGTGTAGCTATCATGCCAAGACATACATCTGCCTAGGAAATGGCATGTTGTCTGAAATTTGATTAGTCTTACTTCCAGACTGAACTGAAATCATACACAATTTTCCACCTTAACTTTTTCTTTCTTTCCAGGAGACAGACTGGAAGGTGTTGAAGTTGGTCCTCAACAAATTACCTGAATCCCTCCGCTATAAAGTGCTGTTTTTAACTTCTCCTTGTAACATAGACCTCCTGGCCTCTGCGCTGAGCTACATGGTAATGCCATGCCCCCTCCCGATGTATCATCACCAGATCCTTACCCTGCTTGAGAGCTGGTTGGAGGGTTTTTCTGAGGGTTTTTTTTTTATTTCAGTCTAATATTTTGAAGATTACCATGCTGGTTGTTAATCCCCACTCACCCTCCCTTTTTGTGAGGGTTGTTTTAGGTACAGAAGCAGGTAATAATGAGTGTTCTTTCTCTGTGTATGTATGTATGTGTACATGTGCAAAGGGAGCTGTGGGCAGTGCCTGTCTGCTGCCTTTCAGAGAGTATTTTTAGTGTGAAGTGTTCTAACTTAGTGTGTGATGTATCAGCTCACAGACAAAAAGACTACTGACAGGCTCCATGGTACCCCAGACGGCTTTTCTCGCACTGATTTGCATCTGGCTGTAGTTCCGGTACTGACGGCGTTAATATCCTATCATAATTATCTGGACAAAGCTAAACAGGTACGGGGAAAGTACAGGGATGGGGGGGATGGGGCCTGAGCCTGTGTCGTAGAGCGTTTTCCCATGCTAGCTGATTAGGAGACAGAAGTGCACGGTAATGCTGCCCTTTTCTCTTAGGAAAAGCTGCATCTGCTGTATTTGGGATGGAGTCAGGGTGAAAAAATACTTTGCTAACTTTGTGCAGTGGTAAATATCCAATCAGTTGGATTCACTGCTCTCCATCCATACCTGTCCCCCCTCGCAGGTCACTGGGTGACTTTACCCTCTGCTGGAAGATGCTGATAAACATAAAAATTCTGTTTAATCAGAAACTTAAATAACAGTTTCTAAAATCTACATAATTAAAGTCCCATCTTAACATTTTGGTCTCCAATACATACAACATCATTTAGGGTTTCAGTGTTAGCGCGTTTTGGATACGAATTCATGTGCATCATACGGGCCTTGCAGTAGCGATACCTTACGAGCCATTCTGAAATGCTAACTGAAGTCAGGAGATGGTACATCAGAGGTTTTCTCTAACTTTTTTTTTCTTTTTTACTCTTCTAGCGTGAAATAGTGTATTGCCTGGAACATGGTCTTATTTATCGCTGTGCAAGCCAGTGCGTTGTGGCACTCTCTGTCTGTAGTGTCGAGATGCCCGATATCATCATAAAGGCGCTTCCTGTCTTAATAGTTAAATTAACCCACATTTCTGCTACGGCCAACATGGCAATCCCTCTCTTAGAATTTCTCTCAAGTAAGTTGTAATGTTCTTCTACTTTTGATCTTCTATAGTTGTAAATGTTTTGTTTTCACCGAATGTGGGTATTTTGTGTTAGTCAGATGGAATGCGCTGTAAGGGTTTCTTGGTTTTTGACGATGCCTTTGCACCATCCTCAAGATATGTTTGATCATCTCTTGTTTGTTACTGTTTTTCTATTTAAAGCACTTGCTCATGAAGAAAGAGACACGCTCTGTGTAGTGCAGCCATACAGTGATGGGAAATACGAAGCTGTTCTCTCCACCTTGCTGCTTATAACCTAAATAGCACAAAATTACACTGTGATGTTAACTTCCCTGTCAGCTGGTGATTTAGGAGAAACAAACCAATACAAATTAAACTGAATTCTGGTATTGAATACCGTATGTTCAGACCTCACCTGTGTTTGTTTTCTTCTTAAACTGTCATAGCTCTAGCAAGGCTGCCTCACCTCTACAGGAACTTTGCAGCGGAGCAATATGCCAGCGTGTTCGCCATCTCCCTACCATACACAAACCCTTCCAAGTAAGTTGGTAGCAAATGTGCTTCTTCCTCATCTCTTAAAATTAAAAGAATGAGACATGCTTTTTTTTGGTGGTACTCATGTCAAGGTTATTTATGGGATGTTGCTCATTCCGGTATCTCCAGGCTTTTTTTGAAGAAGGGACTTATTCACCTTGGATGAAAGATCTGTTTTTCTTGAACAGAACTTTTGAGGTTTTTGGGGTTTTTTTTTATAGTATGTAAAGGAACAGTTCTGTTTCTCAGATTGGGAAGTCCTTCTGTTCATTTCTGGAATGGCATCATAATGCAGCATTAAACTCTGTGGAGATCCTTCTGCTGTTTTAGGTTTAACCAGTACATCGTCTGCCTGGCCCACCACGTGATAGCCATGTGGTTCATTCGGTGTCGCCTTCCCTTCCGAAAGGACTTTGTCCCCTATATTACAAAGGTAATGGACACTACTTTATCAACCACTGCATAATAAAGATGATGACTTAAAAACTGGTTTGCAAAGTTAAAAAGTTCTGTTTGAAGGTAGAAAAATTCTACTTTTCTTGTCAATGTATTTTTCAAAACTGAGTTCTTGTGCGTTGGCCCACGATTGCAGTCTTTCAGCTGCGCATCCCAGCCATTCAAACTGTTATCTGTTTGTCTCAATCGGCAGGGTTTGCGCTCGAATGTCCTCCTTTCCTTTGATGACACGCCTGAGAAGGACAGTTTCAGGGCTCGCAGCACAAGCCTGAATGAGAGGCCAAAAAGGTAAATTACATTTTGCTCCAGCAGGGTCTTGTATTCCCTGTTCTAGTGCTCACACCCTTCCCTGTGTTTTCCTGAGGGAGTCTGGGTCTAGTTATCCAAAATCTGACAGTGCATTTAAGCAAGCAAAGTAAACCTCTTTAGGTCAGGGGTTTGGTAGAAGACAAACTTAGGCTGGTAAAAAGCTGGAATCAAGCCAAGCTGACAGTCTGATAGTACATGTGAGAGCATCACTGGCTGTTTCATAAGCCTTTGCAGTAAGGTGTGGGGCTCTTTGTTGTTAATTTTTGAAAATCAGCAGTTCTTTCAGGTGGATGCGTGTCAGTACGATGCTACCAGAAGTAACAGAGAAGGGTAATACCAGAAGTAATAGAATACTGTGTTCAATTGGTAGTGTTACCTCCTTTTGATAATTCATCTGTAGCGACTACTTAAATGATTGCCAGAGAAATTGTTGTGATTAGCAGCCTGTATAAATTGAGAGAGCCATTGCTGTGTTTTTCCAGAGCATTATCTGTCGAGTCAGTGTAGACTGGGTGGCAGACAGCTGCCTTCTCTGTATCTGGATGGCCTGATGCCTTTTTTGAATTCTGAAGCCATTACATCAGTTTTAAGCAAAGCCTAATGTCTTTAGAAGTCAGATCATATCTTGCCAACAGTCTTTCAAAGTAGTGCCTTGGGGTAGGAAAATATTCCTTGGAAGGCATGCAGGGTCTCTCTAATGTCCTTTTACCTGCAGGGCTTACCTAAATTGGTTCACTTAACTTGCTTCAGTGTTAATGTGCAGTAAGCACACAGTGGCATTTGAACCCTGGGGAAAGTGCCTCTACTTCAACTGCAAGGCTCAACGAGTATCTTGCAACGAAGAAACACCATCCCTGCCCTAATGCTATAGCTGTAAACCCTGTTTTGTGTTTCATCTCTCCCATCTCCTCCTCTTTCATTCAGAAACTTGGAAGAGAAGCCTTTTGACACTCGTCTCTCAAATTAGAATTTCAACTAATCTTTTTTTCCAAGAACTCGTTAAATTCTACCAGGTTGGAATACTACTCTATCTAAAGGTTTTTGCTAATGCTGCTGGATCACTTTCCACAGAAATCTCTGCTAGGGAGCGTGGGCTGCACTTAGGCAGCAATCCGAAACACCAGAATGGCAGGATGCCACTGCCTCCGAGTCTGTCTGAGCGTGGATTCTGGCCAAGCGAGAGAGGAAATAGCTTCAAGCAGATATCTGTTTCCTTGCCTGAGAAGCTTGTGCACTTGGTTTTCACTCCTTAAGCCCAAAAAAGCAGCATTTCTGTGCCCTAGCTGAGATGCTGGGTGTTCCAAGAGATCCGGATCCCACCGGTTCCCAAGGCTGTGAATGGCATGATGGTGGTGTAGGTGGTTATCTTAGAGTATGGCCCTGTGCTCTCTGCAGCCACATCTCCAGTTGTGGCCAGAAATGATCTGTCAGAGGCTGTTGGGAGAAGAAGGACGAAGAAATTATGATCTCTCCAGGTGGCTATCTGAAATGTAAAATTCACTGAAAGGAGGAGAACAAATAAATCGCTTTTAGAAAGAGCCAGAAGGGTTAAATTAGTATCTGCATTTTGTATATGGGCATACGCACTGCTTTGACCAACTGTTCTGTCCAAATGAGTGCTGAGCCAGGCATGCAGCTCAGCTGGGGCTAGTTAAAGCACCTCTTAGATCGTTAATTGCTGTCATCTCCCACATGGGGTTGGCACCTGACAGTGCAAAGGCTTATCTTCCTTTCTGTTCCAGTTGGAAGCCAAGTGGGTTACCCTGAGGCACCTGAAATGAGATAGCTTGTTTGACAGAAAAACATCGTGCAGTCAGCAGCAGCCAAGAGGATGTTTGTCTTCTTGCCCTTCCGTCCGTGCAGTGTGAGAAGGATCAGTCTCAGATAGATGGGCTGGGTCTCCCCCGGTGTCTCCAGCTGAGCTGAGGGGCACCTCTGGCTCACCCTGGGGGTTTTGTGGGTCAGGGTGGAAGCTCAGATTTGGGCCAGGCCTTACAGAGGTAGAGGTGGCTGACGTATTCCCGTGTCTCGGAGAAAAATGTGCTGCTTCCTGGCATTGGTGAAGCATTTTGGGATCTAGGCTCTGGGGAAGTAGTCAGGGTTTTAGCTTCACTGAAGTGGTGAGTTGGAGCAACACAGGAGGTGGTTGAACTGCACAGAACTTCTCAGATTTGAGAAATCTGTGCCAAATTAGCACTCAGGTGCTCTTGCCTTTGTTTAACAGCGCAGTATTCCAACTATCATTTCAATCAGTTTTTTGTTTTAACTTGTACTAATTTCATTTGTTTTGTAGCATGTTTAAAATCTTGTTTTCAAAATGTGGTTTGTCTTTTTAATGCTTTCAGCTCTGCTTGTTTGTACGTTTTAATTTTTGTTTTCCTTTTTTTGGCATTTGTTTTATTTTACATCACCCTCCGGGATCCCCCAATATTGACCCTGTGACCTGTGACCTTTCAACCTACATCCCTACAATGATTTCCTCCCTTCCTGTGACCTCTTTTGGGGCTTGGTGCTTCTCCACCTAGTAGTTTAAGACTAGCCAAAAATGCAAAGCAAGGCTTGAATAACTCTCCTCCAGTGAAAGAGCTGAAAGAATCCTCTGCAGTTGATGCCTTCCGATCCCGCAGCATCAGTGTGTCTGAACATGTGGTCCGCAGGTAGAGGCACTTTAAATGGGGAGAATCCAAGAGCAACTCAGCACTTGGAAATTTTACTGTGAGGGTGGGTGGAAGCAGGGTGGATTTGCATGTGGGATGCTTGCATGATTTTGTTATGGCATAAAAAAACCTGCCCTTAGCCACAGCCAAAGGTTTTGGGAAAGTACCATGGATATCCCGTGGCTTCCCAACGCCGGCTGTTGGGTTGTCACATCACACCCTATGTTGCGTATGGTTACTTTGCCCTATTCTCTGATGCTTTAGCAACAAAAATTTCTATTTTCAAAGTAAAGATGGTGAAGGGGGGAAAAACAAGCAAACAAAAAACACCAAAAAAAAAAAAAAAAAAAAGGAAAAAGGTTGCATTCTGTGCAAGGGGAGAGTCCTGGTTAAAACTCGCTAAACTTCAGCCTTCTAAGCAGTGACCTGCCCCAGGAGAGGCTTTCGATACTCTGCAAACTTATGGACAGGCCCTCCCAAACTGAGGAATAGTACTGGTCTCAGTTTAGGATTTGTTCTTTGAGGCAAAGGGAGCTGATGGAAGTATTCTGGTCTAAAGTATGACGCCTTGAAAACCGTAATTAGTCTTTCCATAGAGCAGTGAGATGTGTGCTCAGCCCGTATGAAGCTGTTGCTTTCACAACTAAAGAAAACAAGTTTTGATTTCAGACATTGATTTGCTCACATGAAAAATGAAACAATTTATGCTAGTTTTTAAAATGTGTTTCCAGATCACTTCCCTTGAGTGTTAAATTGCTGTCTATAACAGTGCCTTCATCTGTAAGGATTGCTGTCAGTGAAGCTTTATTTTCTGGGTCTTTATTTGTTTACTATAACTATGTGGTATTTGGGGGAAAGACACTTAAGTAGCTGAATCGTGAATACCATTCTGGCACTTTGTTCTCTGATTTCCCCATTAACCTATTAGGTTATTTTATTCTTTTGTATTTAGATATAAATGGTAGCAACTAAAAGTTCAGTTAATTACCCTTAATGATGCCAAAGAAGTTGCCACATCATAAAAATTTGGCTGTACCTCAGCTTAGTTTGCATTACGATGGCATAAGGAGTTGTCTTTATAAAATACTGCAATCTGGCCTCTTATTGCAGTTGTTTTAAATTGCATTGCTAACTTGGGGGATTTGAAGACAGAGTTGCTCTCTATTCTTGTGCCAATTTCCTGTTCAGAGTGCAATTTTTTTCAAGTTAAATTAGGTTTTACATAATTGCTGAATTTGGAGGAAAAAATCAATAAAGGAAAGGGATGCAGCAGAGAAAAAAGCAAACGACAGGATTATAAAGTTAAGTCTGGAGTGCCTGGATTTATGGCTCATGGGCAACATGTTGCCTGGGAAGCTGTGCAGGTCACGGGACGCTTGCCCTCGCTGTAGATAAGTGAACTCAAAGCATGGTGCTGCCACTCACTGTTTGCTTGGTGCACTTGCCCATGGGCCACCCAACATCAGAGAGCTCTGGCCTGACCTGGTCAGTTGGTGGACATTTAATCTCAGTCTCGCAAGATAAAATACACTTTCTGCAATGACAATCTACAAAGTACAACATGAGGCTGATCCAAAAATATTTTTATGATGTCCTGGGTTTACTGTCCGGCCACCTCTCTGATCTGGCACGTGCATGGATCGCCGGTTCTGCATCACACCGTCTTTCGGGTGACAGGGACAAGCATTTTGCAATGTGATCTGTCAGTTGGAAACATTCTCTTCTAGTCGGATACAAACATCCGTCACTAGTTCAAGCCTGGGCTCTGCAGATGAAAACTCAATGGCTCAGGCTGATGACAACTTAAAAAATCTCCACCTGGAACTGACTGAGACCTGTCTGGATATGATGGCTCGATACGTCTTTTCAAACTTCACTGCGGTGCCTAAAAGGTAGGGGTCAGTCGGTGACCATGGGAGACGTGTTTTTGTTTGAGATTCATGTTTCACTTTATTCCTGAAAGTTACCATGGCACATTGGTGATCTGGGCAGGCCCCGGCTCTGAAGCCATTCCTCACAGATAAAATCTGGCTTGGCTAAATACGGGGTGAGATGAGAGCAGTCCATTGGAGCCAACCTCAGCCTTGAACTCTCCAGAAGGAGAAGCCGTGGAGGCATGCTGTGAGCGGTGCTTTGCTCTGTGTCCTTGCTGGACAGTCACAGTCTTTGCCACAGACCTGAGCTGGCTTTAAACAGAGGGCATTTACTTTTCTTGTTAGCCCTTCCCAGAAGGAGACACGTAGCTCAGACAAGGCTGGTTCCCTTCTGCTCTGTGATGTGTGTCCAGGATTGAGCTGGACTGCTCTGTAACGGCTGTGCCACCATCGGTTGATATTAAATTCAGCTCATCCCTTATCCTGATGGTTGATGTGTATGTCGATGACCGAGGGATGGGTTAAAAACCCTGCCTAAGGAAGGAGAGCAGGCAGTACCTCCTACATTGTTACATGAAATGAGCCACATGTGCAGGCTCTGTGCTCTGCAGACCTAGAGCTGCCTTCATCACAAATGTGTTTCCAGGTCTCCTGTGGGTGAGTTTCTGTTGGCTGGAGGAAGGACAAAGACGTGGCTGGTTGGTAACAAGCTGGTGACCATCACTACAAGCGTTGGAACTGGGACAAGGTCCCTACTTGGCCTAGACTCCGGAGAGCTCCAAAGCAGCACAGAATCAAGGTAATTTTTGCTCCCTTTTCTAGAAACTTCCACCTAATAAAGGCACTTAAACCCCTGTTAAAGCTGCACCTTTTTTGGTTTTCCACTTAACAGAAGAGGAATGTTTTATTTGTCCAGCATGGCTGATTCCTCTCTCAGTATCATCAATATCTTCTTTTTTTCCACAGCTCAGACCCTGTTTTGCAAGTGAGACAAACTAAAGAAGCTCCAGCAAAACTGGAATCTCAAGCTGGGCAGCAGGTTTGCAGAAGCTCTCGCAACAGAGTCCGATCCATGTCTGGTAAGTTCCTCTCCTGGAGTCTTACTGCCATTTCTGGGTCCATGTCGCAGGCTTAAGTGTCCAAGCACCTGCTGAAGAGACTTGTGTCTAAACTGATTTGAGAATCCGGACCTGTCTGGTATTTAACAGTGGGCAGCAGCTGTTGGCCTCAGGTGTGGCGGTGCTCCCCCTGCTTGTGTCTCCGTGCAGGAAAGCTTTGGTGAATTTGGTGAATGAAAGTGGTGAGCATTTGCAGTGAGAATCACCTGTGTTTATCTAACCTCATGGTTTATAAGAAACACACTCAAGGTAAAGTACTCTTAGGTTCCAAATATTGTGAGCGCAGCTGCTGGAGGAGCTTAAAGGACTTATTACTTCTGAGATATTTTTCATGCTGACTAAGCATGGCTCTCCCTTCTGTTTTGTGTCTGTCTTGCTAGGTGGTCATGCCTTACGTGTCGGTGCCTTAGACAGCTCAGCCTCCCATTTCCCCAGTGGCTCCACTTCCCAAGGGACACAGAGTCCTCCTGCTCCTGCACCTCGATCAGAAAAGACTAATCCTGCTCCACAGACACCTCTGCAGAAAGAAAAAGCAAACTTAGCTGCGTATGTCCCGCTGCTGACACAGGGATGGGCAGAAATCCTCGTGCGCAGACCCACAGGTATCTTTACCCGAGTGTGCAGTGAGCTCTTCTGACTTGCTAAGAAATCAGAGTCTGGATAAAGAAAAAAAATCCATCTTTAGTTGCAAATGAATCTCTTTATTGCTTATTGCCTTTAGAAAGTAATACATCTGATACTTGCTTCTTTGAAATCACTCTTTAGTGTTTTAAATCTACACCGGACCTGGGAAAAGACTGAAGCAAGGACTTAGATTGGTATATTGAGTACTGCTACGGAAATAGAGACAGATAATATCAACCCTACTTTGCAATTCCCATTTGTACACTGCTCCGGGATCTTTCTTGAAAAATCTGTCTGTGCTGTGTTTAGCTTCCCATCTAGATGTGAGATGAATGAAGCTTATGGCTATAGCAGCTGCACAGTTGTGTCTGCTGTTAGGGAAGGAGTAATGACATGTTCAAGGTCAAAATTCGTGAATACTGGTATGCTACACAACATTAACAGGGAATTGTCTGTTTCAGCTGAAAGTTGCTTCCTAAGAAAATAACTGACTTGATATCACTAATTAAAATACCTGAGTGTTTTGGATGCCTTTTGGGAATCTGTAGTAGTAGTGAGTTACGAAGGATGGTTTCAGAAGAGCTTGGGGTGAGGCACAGAGTACTGGGAGCTACTCACTGAAAATAGGAAATCAATCATGTGATTCTGCTAAATGGCAGGAGAACTGAGAACTTGGTCTGTTTTGATTTTTACTTGCAGAATCCAAAACAATTTGTGGTTTTTCAATGTGAGTTGTAAACTTTCTGGAGTTGGGATTCCATAACACTCTTCCCTAATTTTCTCTCACCAGGTAACACGAGCTGGCTAATGAGCCTGGAGAACCCGCTCAGTCCATTTTCTTCAGATATTAACAATATGCCCCTGCAAGAGCTCTCCAATGCACTCATGGCTGCGGAGCGTTTTAAAGAACACCGAGAAACGGCTCTATATAAATCCCTCTCTGTCCCTTCCTCCAGCCTGGCCACCGGGACAGCCAAACCATCGCTTCTCCAGCGTTCCAACACAGGTGAGCGATGTCAAGCCAGTATACCTGGCACTAGCCTGGTTAAGGTCTGTTGAAGTTACTGCAGGTTTTCTAGAACAGTAAAGTTAGTAGCACGAGGAATAACATAGCAGTGAGAAGGGGAGTTGGTTCTTGTCTCTAGAAGTTTTCAGGGAAAAATTCCCTTCCTCCTTGCTTCTGATGTTCCATCAGAGAAGTTCCTCTTTTTCTTAAAGAAAAGAAAGAGAGGAGTAATGGAGATGCTTTGGAGGAGTAAAGTTTCATGCTGTTTCCCAAATGAAAATGAACAGAGTTGTGGATCTTTTCCCTCTTCCGCTTGTTTGGGGCTGATCTGGGCATCCCACAGGTGGATGGATCTTCCCATGCAGCATTTCCATTTCCATTTGTCTTCTAGTTGGGCACTATGAGCACTGGGTTCCTGGGAGAGTGGCTGGCTGCAAACCTTGCCAGCCAGGGTCAGCTAGTTGCCGCTGTCTTTTACAGCATGAGATAGCAGAATGCAAACCCTGTTGGCTCCAGATGTATTCACTTCTTGAAGGACTGTTCAGCCTTCAGACGGGTGCAGCCGGATCACTTGAATGTCTTTTGATGGCTTTATTTTAATATAGTGGCCAGAGCTTTTCACTATATTTCCTTTAGTGCTAGCTCACTTCCAAAAGAGCTGTTAATGCTGAGAGGTCAGTGCTGACCAGCAGCTGAAGTTTTTAAAGCTTTGCGTAACCCGTGGTCAGAGCTCTTACCAACATCTGACACTGAGGCTGTCGGCACTGCCAGCACTATGACAACAGAGCAGTGGTAACAGCAGACGAGGCTTTTCTGGGGAGGTGGCATCAATGGCACGGATTCTTTAGAAGTCTGGTAAAAATGCAAGTTTTCAGGTTTGTTTTAAACAGGGCAGGGTATGATTTGAGGATTTCAGAATGTGTAATCACAAAATTAGAGTCAAATTATCACCTTTTCTAAAAAAAATAAAAGAAATGTAAAAAAAATTTTTAAAAATGCTTTTATTGGCTCCTACAAATTTGTGGTATGTGAGTGCCCGCTGTTGAAAGAAGCAGCCACCTGAATGCCACTCCTGTGGCAGTCTGAGAAGAGCATTTTGGCTGCGTTCTTGTTAACACAGCTTCTACAGTAGAGTTGCTGGAGCTGGCTGGCGAATTAATGTTTTGAAGTTTTTCATAAGCATGTTGCTCTTCTTCTTTAGAGGTTACAACTATATGAGTCTTTATCCATATTTCTACTCTTCAGGCTCTTCTGTGGGTTTAATATCTTTTGCCAAAAGCGTGTAGCCCAGGAAAAGCTCAGACTAGTTTCCTGTGTATGCTAGATTATCACTAAGGAATTTTCTGTTTCTGAAGCTCAGAGAGATGCATTCTTCAAAGAGAGCAGTTTGAGTCTGCATTGTTTGAATGTGTTTACGCCGCCTTATCCATGTTGAGACCTTGTACCCTTAAAGTATCCCTTTGGCATCTAGTGAGCTTATCCCAGCTTGTTCTTTCCTTTGTTTTTATTCATTTATTTATTTATTTATTTTAAAATAGGCTCTTGGTTACATTTTAAACTCTGTGCTTTTTAATTTTTATTTTTTTTCATATAGTCTCTCCTTCCTTTTGATGTAGCTGCTCACTTGATTTCCCTTTGCAGTGGCCTCTTTCTCTTCCATGTACCAGTCCAGTTGTCAAGGGAAGTTGCACAGGAGCATATCCTGGGCAGGTATATTTATATATCTTTAAGGAAAAAAAAAAAAAAAGTATTGCCATAGAAGAACACCTCTGATTCATAGAAAATGTATCCCTCATACTTCATTTTCCCCTTCCATGTCTCCTGTCTGTACCCAGTCTCATTATTCTCAACAAATGGGATCTTGACTAGCATGAAGAAGTCCAAGCCAGATCCAACATTTGCAAGTGCAGCCAATTTCCTAAAGCAACTTTTGTTTTAGCTGGGGTGGATTGTGAGTCATGAGGCACGGTGTTAAATGACCTGTCAAAACGTCTGAGTGGCTTGATTAATTGAATTATTTATTTTCAGCTTCATTTTACAATTGGCTTTGTGTTCTGCTAAATGTAAAAGCGCCCACTTGTGAGAATAACACTGTATGCTACAGGACAAGCTACCCTGAAATGACGTCCCATGCTGCTCAGCCCACAGGAATCTGCCAGAATTGAACTCAGAAACATAAAAGGAGCTGATACATATA